TGCTGGAGCCTCTCACCTGTTCTCTTCCTTTAGGCTCTGGGGAGCCACACACCCTGAGGTTCTCAGGTCCTGGCCCTGGAGGCTGCAGTCCCTGGGGCTCAATCCCGCTGAGTCACGCCTGGCCTCGGGTCAGCAGAGTTGAGTGCAGAGGGGAAGTGGGTGGTAGGCTGGGGATGTCTGTAACAGCTGCCTTATCAGCGAGGGGCCATCCCTCCCCTGTACACTGATTTACTCAGCAGCAGTGGATCAAAGTTTGCTCTTTTGAAATTGATAAGTCTGGGATTCAGTTCAAGATACCTTTGCCTTCCTTTAAGGATGGAATGCTTCCGGTGGCTGGTGATTTATGACCTTCCATTTGGAAGGGGATTTTACAGTGTGCATTAACAAATAAGGGCCATTCTGGGCCTGATACATGAAGCTCCTGTCCAGACATCCCAGTGGTGCTTTAGAGAGTGCCACCGGAGGGGGAGGGGCACAGGTGGGGACGGGCAAGACAAGCCAGCACCCTTAGGCAGCAGTGGGTTCACCAGCCCACTGAAATCATATGAGGACTGGATTTTATAGATAACGTTGAAAAGATTGAAAGGCCTGTTTGGTTTAATGCTTTCCCCCCAAAGCAAAGCGCTCTCCAGGAAATTAGATAAGTGAAAAGTTGGGGAGTATTTTTATGGTGCTAAATTTATTCATTCTAAAGGACTGTCCTGTGGTCTCAATTGCCTTTTTACTATTGATTGTTATTGCTCTTTTCTTTGTCATATGTGAACAAGGACAGGTGGTAGTTGGGTTGTTGCTGGTTTTTTTTTTAGTGTCAGTGATCCTGTGTCTCATCCTCCCTACTTTTTTGTAATTAAACTGGTCCATGAAATTCACTCTACAGATGGGGAACCTGAGGCACTGATACGGAGTGACTTAGCTAATGGTGCCCAGCTGGAGAGAGAAGGTGTTTATATGAAGTTTGGGCCTCAAGCTTCCCACAGAAACTATTGGATGCGGGGATGAGGCGGCAAAAAGGATCAGTAACATCATTTGTGGGGCCCACCTCCTACAAGATAATAATTTGGGGTTTCTTATTCAAAAATTACTAAGGACTGGGAATGTAGCTCAGTGGTAGAGTACACCCAGTGTTCTCAAGTCTTTGGGTTTGATCTTCGGATAAATATATATGTATGTACTTTTAATACATATTTATTAATATACTTTATATATATTTAATATATTCAAAATGGTGACATAAGGGCATTAAACAAAAGTACAGGGCCCTGTGCAGCTGCACAGGCCACCTGACCATGAAGCTGACCCTGGGGACCATAAATGTCAATGTTCCTGATGTCCTGGCATTTAAAATAAGAGCCTGCAGACGGGGGATGTGGCTCTGGTGGGGTGCCCGCCTTGCGTGCTAGAGCCCCAGCAACCCAGGCGCACACAAATCAATAAATAAATAGTCTGTATCACTTAACCCAAGCAATGAATTGCGCTGGCCAAGCCTTTGAGACTTAGGTCCCTGGCTTAGAGCATTTCCTCTGCCCTCCACAGCCCTCTGTGGGAGCAGGTGGGAGACTTATAGAGATGAGGCTTCTCACAGCCCTGGAGGAAGCGGGAGGGGCAGGTGGTGTTTATCTGGCCTTGTTTTGCTGTCTTACCTGCCCCGTGTCTGCCCTAGTGGCTCTATGTCTCTGGGGCGAAGTGCCACACACCCTCCAGGACCAGTGGGTCTGGGGTCTCCTGTTGTAGGCCAGGCCAGGCCTGTGCAGATGGGTTGGCCAGCAGATGCTTGCCAACCAGGAGCAGCAGCTGGAGTGAAAGAACCTGGCCCAGGCCCATGACTGGGTTCCTTGGGCTCAGTGGTGGCCTGTGTCCTTGCTGCACGGACCTCGTGGGAGTTTTGGTGCACTATAGCCCTTCTCCCTTTCCCTAGAGCTATAGTAGGACTCATGCATCTGACCTCACAGCACTTGCAGAGAAAACAGATCTCTTTGTGCTGTGCTGAAGCCCCCGGAGCACAGAGGTGCCTGCGTCTCTGGTGCAGGCGCAGATGCTATGTGAGTAGGCACACATTCACTAATTTTGTGCTTATCACGTGTGCTAAGCTTTCAACAAACATGAAGTCATCCCATGAACCCATGAGGTTGAATTTAGTATTATTCCCATGAGAAAACTGAGGCCTAGAGAGGTCAAGTTGAGCCAAGAGGTGGGCAAGAAATCGGGAAAATGCACAAGATGCCCCTTTCTGGCTCTTCCCTGGAGAGAAATGGCTCTGTAGGTCCTCCATTGGCTGAATTACTTATCATCTCACCCAGCATTTTGCAGGTACCCCTTTATGCTAGGCCAGGGGTGGTGGGGTGGGCAGAGCCAACTGAACCACCCTCATGCTAGAAGCCTTGGGCCCATGAGCTTTCAAGGAAAAAGCTGCCACAACCTACAATCACTTATGTGTTTACAAAATAGGCATCTGGGCAAGTGCAGCAAGGGGTCCAGGGCCTTGGAGGGAAGCTGCTAGGGTAGAGAGCGTTCCCGGGCCTGGAAAGTTCAGTCTCTGTGTCCACCAGTTCACCCCCAGGCCCTGGAGGTTCTGACCAGAGGGGAGCAGCAGGCAGCGGGGGCCAGGAGAAGGCCTTGTGGAGAAGCAGGAGACTGGAGGGAAGAGCAAGTGCTGTGTTCTATTGCATTTTCTTCCAGTCCTTTTTCTGTGTCTATGACAAACTTCTTTTCTGTGGTGGTGATTTTAGAAGACAGGAATCCTTTTATAAGTACTGTTTTAAAACCCAGTTATGTCAATGGCTGAAATGCCAAGAAGAATCTCATTAGATACATAGACCCCTCGCCTGTTGTGGGCTGCATAGTGTGTGTCCCCAGGTAACTCACCCATCTGGAACTGGTGTTCCCTGGTCCAAGGTGCCACAGGCCTTGGTCAGTTTCCCCCCTTCTGTACTTCTGATTGTGGCCTGAGCTGCATTTGTTTGCACAGAGGGGATTCACCAGGAAAGGCGTCACTATTGTGAGTGAGCCTGGTCTCCGGCATCTCTGGAGTGGGCCAAGTGGACACTGGTGTTTGGATATACCAGTAGCCAGCCCTGAGGGGCTTCATGGGGCCACCCCTGGGCTCATTCCGGAAGGGCCTATGCCACTTTTGTCTCAAGTGGATACACATGCCCACCCTTTGGCGTGGCAGCTCTAGGCCTGCCCTGAAGCTGCAGGGCAGACTGTGTAGGCTTCTGCAGGGACTCAGAGGCCCATCAGGGTCCCATTTTTTTTCTCATCCAAGTACTTTCTTCAGGACATGCCTGCTTGATCCCTGGGACAGTGGGCTTGGCCTAGGAGAAAATGACACATGGGCATTTCTGGGGGAGGCTGCCTGCACTAGGGAGGGTGACTTCTGGGGACACCTGACTCCTGATTCTGTGTAGACTCCATCGCATTTGCAAAGCCATGATCTGCTCAGAATCCCAGAGACAGATGAGGAGCGGAGATTTTTTTTTTACCCATCTGACAGTGAGGAAACAAACTTAGGAGAATTGGGATGGAGCTGGGGCAGGGCCTGAGTGAATGGGAGCCTGGGGCTATCTGCCCGTCCTTGGCTGCTTCTCTTCTCCTCTCTCTCTCTCCAGGAGCTCTTCCTGGTCCAGGCAGCAGATGCTGTCAGGCCTCACTGCGTGCCTCCTGCCTTCCCAGTCTGGCGTTTTCCAGCTGGCTGGCATCTGCACTCTGTGCCTGAGGGCTTTTTCCAGGGTCTGGAAATGGGGCCGCTGGCCACTGTGCCTGCACATGAGTGACTGGCCTCCATCAGTGACTCCCAGGCATGGGTATCTGGCCCCAGCTCCCTTGACCTATGGAAGGTAATTCTGAGGAGTGGCCTGTGCACGATTTCCCATAGAATCAAGCTCCAGGCGCCCACCTTGATTGGTGGCTTAGCAGTGCAGCTTTCCTGGCTGCCTTCCTCCCCGTGTCCCTGTCTTCTCCTAAGTGTCTCCTCCCAAATAAACCACTTGCAATAGAGTCCCTACTTTAGGGTCTGTGTCTGGGGATCTCAGACTAAGGCACGTAGCCTGTAGAGCATGAGAACAGCATCCTTTATGTGCTCCCAAGAGCCCTGGTGCATGTGCCCATGGAGCATGCCAGGGGGAAGATGCTTTCCCACTGAAGATGGGGCACTCAGACTGAGAGAGGTGGGAGACATGTCCAGAGCACAGCTGGGGAGAAACCTCAAAGCACTGATCTCAGTGCCCAGAATCCAGTACCAGCCTGGAGTCCCCGACCCTGCCTTTGGCTTCTACCCAGCACACCTTGCCAACCCTACTGCTTACAACAGCGCACTATGCAGTGGTAAAGGGAAGCATGTCCAGAGCCTGCCCTCCAGGTCGGGGCTGAGAGCAGCAGCCTGCACACAGCTGTGATCCAAGGCAAGTGGAAGGGCCTTCCCAGTGTGCTTCTCCCTCTGCCTGGCACGTGTGACTGAATGGCTTCTGTCCTTAACCATGCCAGATCCCTCTGGGGAGGTAACCTGATTGATACCATCTTCCAGCCCCCACTGCAGACTCTTTGGTACCCCTTGCCCAGAGCTCCGCACAAGCAGGCACGCAGCAAGTAGTCCTGAACAGTGATCGGCACCATCGCAGATGCCTGGGACGTTGCAGAGTTCTATCTACAGCTACTTTCCTGTCCCTTAGAAAATGCCAAATTATGTGAGAAACAGTGTCTGGTGCACAGGGACAGTTTCTTAGCCTATATGAGAAAGTTCGTCAAACCAGATATGGTGGCGCACACCTGTAATCCTAGCGACTAACAGGGTCTGATAGCAGGAGGATTGCAAGTTCGAGGTCAGTCTAGGCAACTTAGCAAGACCCTGTCTCAAAAGAAAATAAAAGGGCTGGGGATGTGGCTCAATGGTAGAGCATTCCTGGGTTCAATCCCCAGGACCACCACCAAAAAAAAAAAAAAAAAAATCTTCAAGCCTTGGCTGCTAGAGAATATGAGAAGACACATTACTTTAAAAAGTACATCAATGTTTATTGAGTATCCACCATTAAGCTGAGTGTAATTGGGAACCATCAAACACAGTGAGTGGTGGTAGTTGTGGCCAGTGCTGCAATGTCCTCAATAAAAAGAAAGTGACTGTTGGGGAGGGCAGCTGGTTGGAGCTGCCTGTGCCTAATGATGCCCTGGTCCGCCCCGCGGCTCGTGTGGAAGATGTGCATGAATCATCCTAATGGGCCCCATTCGGAGAGAAATGACCCTTCACTTAGTGCCGTTCTGCAACGCTTACCGCCTGTGGGCTGCAGTGGGCTGCACCAGCCCCCACAGCCTCTCCCCTTTCATCACAGCCCCAGCCCAGAAAGCCCTGGTAGAGGACCAGGCTCCACGCAGTGAGTGCACTTCTTCCCGGGTCCTGGACAGGCCCCAGATGCCTGGTGTCTGTAGGTCCCCCGCACGGGAACGGCCTTGGCTCCTGGATGCTGCTGGTCTGCTGTTGTGCTGTGCATACTTTTCTGGTGAGCACACTGGAAGTTATTCTTACCAAGCGGGGCCTTCTCTTACCGTGAGAAAGCCTCACGGGCATTCCTCATCTTTTCTTGGGAAGGGAGCAGCCCAGCCATGCCTATCAGGAATGGAAAAATGCCTCAAATGAGGTTGTCCAAACCCTGTTTTGGAAGCAGGCAGGCTATAAATATGTAGGTCAACAAATGACTTAGGGTCTCTGGTGCTCTGGTTTTGGTGGGAGTTGGTTTTGTCACCCTGCTTATATGTCCCTTGTCTATTGAAAGCCTCTGGTAGCTCTTGTCCTTGAGATGACCTTGGCAACCTATGTTAGTCCTCCACCCATTGCTATTTTATGGTTGAGGAGGAGTCCAAGGCCCAGAGAGGGAAAACCACTGGACCCCCGCACCCCAGCTCCTGACCGCTGCGTCTCCTGGCCTCTCAGCCTTGCTCTGCAGGAGAAGGGAGGCCTACTCTTGCTCTTCCCCACTGGGGCTGGACCAAGTGTTGTCTAGGCAGTGGCCCCACACTCCTGGATGTGTACTTGTTCCCCTGAGCAGGACATCAGAAAGGACGGTCTAGGAGGGTGAGTGTGGGATGATGGGGTTGCAGAGGAGAACTAGGGAAGCACAACTGGTGACCCCACGAGGACCCAGTCTGTCTGGCAGCCATCTCCTATCTGTAGCATTGGGTAGTGGTTTTTGCAAGAGGAGCTGGGGGCTCTCCCAGTGGGGCAGTTGGGGTGGATATGCCCAGGATATTTTAGGGATGACTTAAAGGGGAAAATTAGATAGCTCTACAGGTATTGCAGAAGCAGCCCGGACCTGGGGGTTAAGAAACATAGGTGTTTTACCTGTTTCTGACATTGGTCTTGGTATGTTCATTTCTGCTCGGGGTCTCCTGTCCCCAGTGGATTCATGATTTCCAGAGTGTGGATGTCTTCAGCGGTACATGTTGGGATTCCATGTAAAGTTTCCTTTGAACAAATCGTGTGCACAAGTTTTGAGACCCAATCATTTAGACCGCCTTTCAGTAGTGACTATGGAGAGCTGGGTGCTATCTTCTGGACAGATGCAGTGAATTCTCTGTCCATAGGCCCAGGCTGAAAGCAGTTAAGAAATTCTAGGATTCAGCTCTTTCTAAGATCAAAATAGAACCACCCACTGGTGGAGAGATGCCGGCAAGCCTGTCCCTACCACTTGGCAGTGACCTTCTGGGGTAAACAGGGAGGGCTGGGCTCAGCTCCAGGGGCCTAAACAGAAAAAGAGTGGGTGGGTGTGAGCATGTGTGTGAGAGGGGCCAGACAAGTGGGGCCCAAGAGGAGCTGGCAGAGGCTGTGATTGGAATGTGTTTTTCCTGACAAGCCGGGGCCTGCAGGTGTCTAGGCAGGCAGCTGTAGCCAAGGGAGGGGCAGGACTGGAAAGAGCAGTGGTGACCACTTGAAGCTCCCCTCTTGGCCTTTTGAGGTGGGGCAGGTCTATAAAGGGCATTTACAATACGCCACTGAAGGAAGAGCAAAGAAATGGGTGGCGGAGGCTAGAGTCAGCTCAGCTCGGCTCAACGTCAGGAAGGCCACTTTAATAGTGAAGGCAGTCCAGTGGCAGCTTCCACCTCTGGAGCATGTGGGCAGAGGACTTGGTGGGGACCCTCCTGCAGGAAAAGGGGAGCTTAGCACTTGGAGTGACTGCAGGGCTGAGCCAGGTTAGGAAGAGGAGAGGGAGCCCTTCCTAAGTCAGGGTGGAAGAGCGCCCTCCCGCCCTCTGATTTCCAGGAGTTGTGGCTGAGTGCGCAAATGTAGCTAATTAATCTTCCCCAAATTAATTTCCTTACCATGTCAGAAATGATTTATTGGCGCGTCCGTAAGGGGAGTTGATCTGTGCTGGTCAGAGCCCATGACACGGAGAGGCGAGGATGGGTACTTGCTTGTGTGTCCTGGTCCAGTTCTGTGGGCCCCTCCAAGCCGCGGGCACTGGGCGTAGGTGGGGAGTACACTGCTGTCTCCCAGTGCAGAGCTGGCCTTGAGGGTCCCAGGCTTTGAGTAGGAGGTGTATCCTACTCAAAGCCTAAGAGTGGGGAGAAAAGATGGTTCACAAACATGTTCCTGTTGGGAGCTGAGTACTGTTGGCAGCTGATGTCATGATGCTTAATTGCAGCCATTTCCTTTATGGAGTCACTGAGGCCTTGGTGGGGTTTCTCCTCATATCCTTGCCTCATCTTTCCCAGTAGCTTTCCAGCTTCTTATGGGTCTTAAGGTGCTGGATGGTACAGCTCACACAGCACTGGGTGGGTCCGAGGTGTCTCATGTGCCCTATAATAAGCACTCAGCTTTCATAAACCACAGACAATCATCTTATTTGGTACTCACAACATTCACATGAAGCTGAGAAGCAGACCACTCCACCCGAGAGAGAGAAAGCTGGTAGCCCAGAGCCGGTTGCATCTGTGCAGCCCCAGACCTGCCCACCTCAGTCACGGTGGGAGTTCTGCAGACAGCCGTCTACTGGACAGTCCTTAAAGCTGGCCACCTCAGCCTCCGGCAGCTCAGATGTGCATGTCCAAGTCAAGTCAGCTGTATCCTGAGTGACACTGGGGAGCATAGGCAGGTGGCATCCCATTAGCTGACCTCCCACCCAAGCAGAAGCACCAGAGCTTCTGCCTGGACATCTGGAGTGGCAGGAGCTCCCTTTCCCAGGCAGCGTGTCTCTTTATTGGCTGTCATATGTCCTTCCTGAGTCACTGAGCTTGCCTCTGTTTAGCTTCTGGGTCTGCACAGAACATCTGTCCACTGCCTCTTCCCTGAGCGGCCCCCTGGCTATTGGAAGGCCTCTCCAACCTCCAGATCCCTGTTCCTTTAATGCCATCTCTTTGTTGGCATGGCAACAGAGCCTCCATCCTGTGGACATCAGGCCTGCTAGGTCCTGTGTCACAGCAGGTCCCAAAGGAAGACCAGGAAGGACTCTGGGCCTGGATTGCAGCCCTCCAGTAGGGACAGAGCATTGAGCGGTCTGGCTGCAGCTGTCACATTATGCCTCCCAAGTTACTCACTTACCTTCAAGGACCCCTAGAGCGAGGGAGGCTCCGGCCCATAAGCCAAGACAAAGAGCCTGGGGCCCATCCTCTCCCTGCGTCCTCCATCTCACAGCTGAGTGGCAGGCCTGTGTCACCCATTTTTTTGGCCAGGTGAATAGTGCCTGTTGAATGAGGGTGGAGTCAGCACCCCTCGGTCATGCAGCTGCTGTCAAACTAAGGCAAAGAGTGTGTGGCTGTAATGTGAGGGGACTTGGTCCTAAATTAACCTGGGTTTATGACCTGCCTGTGATGTGCCCAGGGCATCCTGGGTGTGTATAAATGTGATGGAGGAACCACAGTTCCATCAGTTGTCAGATTCCCAAAGAGACCCAGGACCTCAAAACTGTTAAGGCAATTCACATACAGCCTTCGAGGTAAATCAGTGAGAGAAATCATTGAGGATGCTTTCAGTGTGTTCTCAGGCAGTTTGCTTTAGAGTAGAGCAGAACGAAGTCATGGGCCTGGCAAGAATCTGGGAACTCGTAGGATGTCACCCCTTTGTTTCCTAAGGAGTGGAGAGTAGAGCAGAGACCCCCAACCCCTACAATCCAGCAAGCCTGGAACTGAGCCAGCGCAGCCAAGCTGCCAGTTTCCTCAAACAGCAGGGGGACTGTGTGGCACAAAGGAGGTGCCCGTGGGGTGGTGAAGTCAGTGGGGTTCACTCCTGGAAGCTGGCAGGGGCTTTCACAGATCCCTCCTTACTAGCAGGTTTGAGCTACTTCCGCAGGAACACCCCTGTGCATTTTTGTAGCTCCCTCTGGGAGCTGGGTGGTATTCCTGGAGGGGTTTGCTGAGAGCCCAGGTGGACTTGACCTGAACACATTTGTGGTTTGGAACGGCAAGCCTCATAGTCCTCAGGTCTGGGAGCCGGGAAGCCAGGCCAGGGCCTCACCTGTGGGGCCCTTTCCCCCTGTGCAGGTGAGTGGTCCCGTCTGGAGCCAGCCCTCCCAATTGCGCGGAGATGCCTTTCCCTCAGCTTCAGGTAGATTGTGGAGAAAGACCAAGGCATGTTGGGTCAGCTCTCACTCTGGCTGACCCCTAGGGAAGAAAGTGGGGAGCCACCGGTAACCTGAACTTCTTGCTTGACTTTATTGAACAGGGCTGGGAAAAGTGAAATTCCCGAGTAATGTCTGGAGACCTGCCTTCAGACTGGGGGGTGGGGTGGTGGTGGCTGACGCTGGCTTATTGTTTCCCTAACTTTCCTGATAAGAATCACCTGGGTTGCTTGTTAAATACACAGATTATGGGGGCAAGGAGTCTGTTGTCTTAACAAGCATTCCAGACCATTCCTGTCTTCAGACAGGTTTGGGAAACAGTCTGTCTGCTGTACCAAAAATAGCTTGAGGAAGAGGAGTGCTTTGCAGCAAGTTTAGCTTTGCATATAACACATGAATGGGCTCTTGTTTGCCCTTGTATTGGCACTACACCACAGAAGCGTCTTTGACCCTTATCCCAGTCCCTCTTCCTACTAAAGGAAGGGGTTGGTTTGGGGCTTGCCTCTCCCCAGACCTTTCCTTCATGTTATAGTAGAGGTTTCTGTTTCACTTTTCATAAATGTTTACCATGTATTTATCATCCTACAGTTGCTGCCTTTCCATTCAAAGCAACATCATGAAGAACTATGTTGGCTCATGTAAAGCAAATGCCTTTTTAAAATTTGCTGCTTAATATTCCATAGTGTGGAACTAGCACAGTTGATTTAGCAGTTCCCCCATTGATGGGTATAGTGATGGGTGTAGTGATTGCTAGTTTCTCATTATCACTTGCTTCAGTGAGTATCTTTGCCCATATCCCTTTGTATACATTTGGCACCACATATTGAGAAGTGAAATCACTGGGGATTTCAGTGGGTTTTGCTAAAACTCATCCTTCAAAGGGGTTCTGCCCATGTACATCTCTGCTGAGAGCATGTGGAGAGTCCCCAGTTCTCCATACAGGTGGCAGCTCTCTCATAAAAGCAACTTGAACTCTTCTGTGGAAGTGTTGCCAAGTGGCCACACCCACCTTCCTCTAGCACTTCCCTGTGGGGGTGAACAGGAAGGCATATTTCCTATCACAGAGCTAATCCTAATCCCTAAAATAAAAACACCAGGGTTTAGACCGCTGGAAGGGATGGAGTTCCACCCAGCAGTATGTGCAGAACAGAAAAGAGACACACAGAGCCAACTCCAAGCCTGCAAGGAGCCCAGACAGAGAGTCTTGTAGGAGAGGCGATGGGTGTGGTAGACTGTGGTCCCCAGAGTAGGAGTGAGGAGGTGTGTGAGGGCTAGCCCTGAGGGCCTGCTGCTGGCTTGCTGGGTGGGTGGCTGCAGCAAGGTCCTGAGTCTCTGAGCTTCAGGGGCCTTTTGTAAAACAAGGGAGCAGGCTTCTGGGAGACTGCAAACACAGATTCACCACTTTCTGAGCCCGTAGAGTCTGTTTAGGAGCTCTGGGCTGACCTAGGATCTGCAGTTTTGTTTGAAAGCAGGAGAAGGTGCTTGCCTGAGGTTTAGCACCCATCCTGAAAGGCTGAGAGAGCCCGGAAGAGGTATGTCCCTGGTCCCTGTCCTGCTGCTGCTGTTCAGCTCCTCCGCTGCAGGCAGGAAGGTGCACTGGGTGACCACTTCAGCTCTGCTCCTGTCCCATGTGGCTGCAAGCAGCCACCGAAAGGAATCCACTGAGCTGAGACCAAAATCCAAGGCAAGTTTCTTGTACAGAGAAGCCCTGGCCAGCTCCATTTGGTTGAATTGTTCAGCTAGATTTATGGGATTTGTCCGCTAACTGAGGCATTTAAAGCAAAGTAAAAGCAACCCCAGCAGGAATCCAAACCCGCATCTGGGGAAATTCATTCCCATTCCTACACACAGAAGAGCGGTAGCCTTCGGGGGAAACTCCTCCCTGCCCTTTGACTCACAGTGAGTCCAGGCAGCCTGGATAGTGGTCACACCACCCGGTCTTGTCGCCCATGGTCCTGCACGTGTGGGCTCTAGCTGACTGCGTGCTGAGCTCTCCCAGCACCTGGTTAAATTTTTACTCCCAACTAGGACATGATTTTGCTTAAGGTCGGACAGTTGGGCGTAGTGTTTGCCAAGTTTCAGGTTGCTCAAACCTCCAGTTCCCCTCCCTCCGCCAGCCTCGCTCTGAAGTTGAAAAGCAGACTGATTAGATATACATTTTAGGAACCTTCCGATTTGCTTCTTAAACTAACAGAATTCTAAACTTTTTTTTTTTTTTAAAACGGAAGGATTTTCAACTGTCAGCAGGTATAACTGGATCCATATGTCAGCAGAGACCAGGGGCTTTTCCTGGTTTTAGGATTTGTAAATTCTTACTGAAACGGAAGTAACCAGGGCAGGCAGCTGGGGCCGGGTGACAGCTTGAGCTCAGATCTCATTTTAATTAGAAAATATAGATAGCGCCTGCTGACTCACGGGGAGGGTGGGCAGAGCTCCCATCCCAGGGTGAACAAAGATTGGTTTATATCCTATAAGCCTCTTGTTTGCAAATCACAGAGCATTTCCGAGCACCTCTGAGAAGGGGCTGCAGTGCTACATTACTATGGAGACCGCAACCCCTCCCCCCACGCTCCCCAGCAAATCCCCCTAAATGATTTTGTTTTGGGGAAATACATCTTCCCTCCCTCATTGCAGACTAGACGGAGGATGTTCACATTGAAAAGAGACAGTGAGGATGTCTGGGGTGAGAGAAATGAGATTAGATGTCATCCACAGCAGCAACATTATTTTCTCCATTTGGACATCTGGTCCCTTGAACTTAAAACCCTGCCCCTGATGGGCATCTGAACTGTCCTGTTTGACTGTGCTTCACATGTATAATTTTCTCCCTAATGTGTTCTGCAAATGGTAGAGTAGAAATATCAAATGAAAGACATCCCCAAGGCCTAGCTCTTCCCAACCCCCCTCTTTCCCTGGCCCGGTGTCACTTGAGCTCATTGAGTCTCCAGAAAGGCTGCTATTACAGTGTCAGCATCTGGAAGCGCCTGCCGGGTCTGGGAGCCTGGCCTGGCCGCTGCCCCGCCCATTTCCATGGATGCTCCAGTGCTGGGCACCCCAAGCCTGGGTCCCCACTGGTGGGCTCTTCCTGTTTGGGGAGCAGGGACCCACAGCCACGTGCTGGGAACTGAGCTACAGCCTGCCACCTCCCCACACACCCACCCATCACATTCAGGGCAGCTGGCGGTCACCCGTGCCCCCTGCCAGGGCTGCTGGCACAAGCTGCCATTCAGCAGGCAGACAAAGGGGGATTTTCCTTCCCCTTGAGTTTACAGGCCCCTCAAATGCCTTACATTCCAGGAGCTGGG